TCACGTCTGCTTATTTCTGGTTTGGGGGGCAATGAGATTTGCCACAGTGCTGCAAAAGGGTTTGTTGGCACCTACGCAGGAACCTTTGCCAAGGACCCACAGGAAGGTGAGTCCAGGGTTGGTGGCATTGGGCAATGCTACTGCTTGATTTATCTCTGCCTCCACATGGCACTCTTCTTTAAAGAAGGCGCAGAACTTGATAAACAAGTTTGGGGGGAGGACAGCCTTACAGAGCATTTTACAATCTTGGGTTGTGCAGGGTTGGTGTGCTAAGCCCTGGAGGATGGTTTCTGCCCATGGGGAATTGGGCCCATCCTCTGCGACAGCCTTTTTCAGCTCTTGAAGGTCATGAGCTTCCCAACGGTACCAAGCGGCCGGCCTATTTCCACCAGGGGCTTTGTCAAATTTGGGCCTACAGTACTTTTTCCAATGTAATCCTTTTTTACATTGGGGGCAAGGTGTGGTAGGGTTTTTTTTTTTTGCCTTTAGCCTTGGGACATTGGCTTTTAAAATGACCTTGTCTTCCGCAACCAAAATATTGTCCCTTGAAGGGTGGGGAAGTATTGTTTCCTGAGGGGATCAGGACGGTAAACGCCTTGAAGGCTTTGGTTAAGTTTTGTGTCTGAGCCTGCAAGGCTGAGGATAAAGTCCTGGCCTCAGCAACAGCCTTTTTTAGTTCTTTTACAACGTTGACTGGATAGGCCTGAGGGGCTGCTTCCCCCAACGGGCTGCAGATGGCTGGGGTGGGGGTTCCCAGCGAACCATAACAGGAAAAGCCTGCAGCTCTGCCGGGGATGTTTTGAAAGGTGGGCTAGCCTCCTCCACTTCTTCAGGTGCCGCTTTCTCTCCTTCGGCTAAACTTTGGTGGGGTGAGTATGCTGGGAGAGGAGGGTACAGGGTAGGGGCATAGGTATCACTCAGTGGCTCAGGGTCTTGCATTGGCATCTTTGTTTCCTTTTTTCCCTCCTCATCAAATTGCGCCCAATCCCTTTCTGCCCCTTCCTGATACTCGGGATGGAAGCAAAGCTTTAGGGCAGGGATGGTTAGGTAGAACCCTAAGGGGGGGTCTAGCCCGTGACTAATCTCGTTCTTTCTGGCCAGGATCTGAACCCGGTCCCAAGTCTCATATGAAAACAAGTTGGACGAAGGTGCACAAGGGGCTACCTGCACCACATGACGCCAGGCATTGGTGGCCGTGGAGTCAGATATTTCTAGGCCTCTGCTTTTTTTTTTTTTTGTCCTTTTTGAGACCGGCTCTACCACACTCAGCCAGTGAGTGCTGTGAGCACACCGGTCATCCCTATATAGGATCCGAACCCGTGGCGGGAGCGCTGCTGCGCTCCCAGCACCGCAGTCTCCCGAGTGCGCCACGGGCTCGGCCCAAGGCCTCTGCTTTTTAACATGTACTTTAGAGCCTTGCAGGCTGTCTCATCACTCTTTCCACACACGCCTCCCATGTTGCCCCACGAGGAAGGGACAAAGGGAGCAACAGGGCAGAGAAGTGCAGGGACTTCCACTTGTTATGGTACTCACCCTGACACGCAGGTGGATTACTTCATGGTGACTACTGCAGTTGTGGGGGCCACTCCGTTGGTTGATCACCCTTCGTCGACCTTCTTTCAGGACCGAGCAGCCAAGGGCCTCACTCGCTCGCCTTTCACCCATGAGTTTTAAAAAATGCCTCACATGGGGCACCACTCTGTCGGGTCCACCGTGGGCTGACCCGAACAGCCCTAGCCTCGTTCCTTTTGGTGGGCGAGCGAATGGCCCGGATTCCTCTTTCCCTCCATTGGGAGGAGATGGGGGAAGAGAGCTGTGAAGAGAGGTGAGCAAAGCCACCTGCCCCAACCAGCCTGTTAAAGGACACTAAGACGTGGCGGGGGTTCTGGCGAGCAGTTCCGTTTATTATCACACAAGCACTTGCTTTTATAGGCAGATGGGGAGGAGAGGTTTTAACATAATCCTATCAGCTTAAAGGTCAAGAGCATGCATCCTATCTCAATGCCTTGCTATTGCAATCACGCAGCGTTCACGAGCATGGAAGCACGTTTTTGGCCAATAAGGGCTAAGGCAAGGTTCCTGCAGACACTCCCACCCTAGTTCCTCCCAGCGCCGTCTTAGGCTGCCACGTTAATACACCCTTGTGGGCCCATAATGGCACCGCTTGTAATGTCACTTAAGGTGGCATTAGTTTTTAAGGCCCTACACCAGGGCTCTTAACAATTGGAGTTTGTAACTGTATAAAATACGTAATATAAGACAAATTAAGGCAAGTGCCATGAAACAGTCAAGAAAAAGTGCTAGAGCCATTTGATGACAGAACGTTGTTTACAGCTCAGGAAGGAATGGGAAAGTCATTTCAACTCTAAAGTACATAGGTATTTTTGAATGTTTGACTACAATTTTCATGAGGCATGCAGTACCTACAAACCTACATCTCAGATTAAATATTTCTTTTTGTAAAATTGCTGTGCATTCATTATTCCTCCAAAACTCATTGAAGCTTGATCCCCACTGTAGCAGAGTTAAGAGGGTGGGAAATCAGGCCATGGCAGTGTTGAAAAGTAGAGCCTTTAAGAGGTGATTGGATTGTGATGACTATGCCCTGGTGAATGGATTAATCCACACATGGAGTAATGAGTTAATGGTCTGGTGGCTCGTAATGGGAGTGGCACTTGTGGCTTTACAAGGAGAGCTAGTGAGCACGTTAGAGATCTCTTGCTCATGTCATTCTTGCCATGTGATACCCTGGTCGCCAAGCGACCCTGTAGAGAGTTCCCACCCACAAGGCCTTCACCAGATGCATCCCCTGGACTACGGACTTCCAGGTCTCCAAACATGTAAGAAATAAATTTCATTTCTTTATAAACTATCCAGTTTCAAGTACTCTGTTATGAGCAACAGAAAAAGACTAACATAAAAACTATGGCCAAACCAAAAATGATTGCAGAAATGTCACAATGTCAAATGTACAACTTTCTCCCCCAAATAAATATATAAATTATCAAGGGAGTTGCTACAAGATATAAAACAATAACCCTGAATTTTATTCATTTCTCCTCATCTCCAATCTAAACCTTCTTCTTCAGCCTGAGAGCTTTAAAATTCTTTTGTGCTCACAATTAAACTTCTAATTGAGATTGTATTGACTTTTCCCATCTCCCATCTCCTTTCTTATTGACTTTCTCACTGGTTCCCTTCCCATAGTCAAAGCGAGTTGAATATTATGGCTAAAGCTATTCTATTACTAATTGCATAAAGCAAATCACTAAGAACATCTTTAGTGCTTTCCACATATGGACAAAACTATTTCTGTTTTCAGTCTGGAAGCTACATATTAAATGGTCACTTGCATCTATTTAATCTATTGTCCTCTACATATTTCTATGACACTTCTCTTTACCATAACTTCTATACTTATATCTGAAAAATTACATTCCTTTTCTTTATCAAGTCCCCATGAGTGTTTTCAAAATTTCCTTCCCAAACTCTTTACTGGAACATTGTTTTGGCTATAATCAGAGGAATAATGTAGTTTTATTTCCTAGACAGTCAGCATTGCTGATAAGTATGCAATATTATGCTAGACCACCCTGTTCTCCAGTTATTACAAAAAAAAAATGCAAATGAAATTAACATCTTTTTCTACTATGGCATAAATTATCACTTCTGGGTCAATCTTCACACTACAGAAAAATGTGATAGAAGATCAGTGAGTTATTTTATGTAGATAATGAAACAGAAGTTCTAGAGTTCTGTGTTACTCATCAGATTACGTTAGGTGATGCAGTAATAAAAAGACACCAAATCTCAGTGGCTTAACACATAACGGTTTATTTTTTACTTTCAAAAAGTCCATTGGAAGTCCATCAGCTCTCCAGGTCAGGTTCCTTCCAACCAGTGACTTAGAGACCCAGGTTGCATCCATCTTGTAGTTATGCCATTTGGAATACATTGTTTGTAGGTCACCCTGGCAGGTAGACTGAACTGGAGGGTCATGCAGGACTTTTTACAGCTCCAGTATGAAAATGACACATCACTTCTGCTTACAATCCCTCTGCTAGGAGTAGTCAAATAGCATCACCTAACTACAAGGGGCTGGGAAGTGAATGGGAACACACAGATATAGGATGAGCCATAAACATCTTTGCCATATTCTACAAATAATATAAGCTTTTTAAAAAACATATTAACGAACAATTTTGAAAAACTCTATGAGTACAAAATATCCCTTAAATGTAATAGTTTTTATCAGCATATACATATAGATGTATTTTTAGGAAACAGCTAAAGTTATGAAGCTCTGAGGTGATCTAACATGGTATTACTATAATGTTCTAATTAGTGAGAGATTCCGTTACAGGTGTTTCCATTGTAAAAATTTGGGGAGCTGACATATTATTTATCTACTAGATGTTTTCTATCTTTATAGTTTTACTTGCGATACAAGTGCTATTGTATAGCTACAACAATAGCTATTGAGCCTCTCATCGTGCCAAAATACTCTGTACCTATGACATTACAATTGCACATCTTCAGTAACAGGTTTCTTTTAGACATAAATTTATAATTGATGTTACTCTGATATATAAAAATGTAAAGTAAAAATAATTTTAACTTATTTTAACATTAGTGGTAAACGTGAATCAGCAACAGACACAAGGCACCAAATCTTAGTAAAATATGGACACAGGAAGATCAATGATGTCATTATCACCTAAATTTAACTCCTATTTTAATTCAATATCAATGCTTCAGACAAATTTTTGAACAGCATACTTACTAAGATTTTGGCAGTAGTTTTATGTAACAAGACACACAGCATACTAGAGGTCTGGCACTCAACTTGCGTACGTAAACCAGCTTCAATATGAAGGCATTAAATATTTTTTAAAAAACCTTCTTTTTACATGCTAAATATTCTGGCAAGTGTGCAATTAAACATAGAAATGAAATTAACATAGTAAGCTTAAGAAACTACGAACTTGAAACTTGTATCCTAAGCATAAATCATATTAAAAAAGGATCACTGGTTATATGGTATAACACTGTATATTTAAAACTTAATAGTATAAATTGCGCAAAAAAAATTTAGAATCTTTATTAATCAAAAAACATCAGGGTCTGTTTAAAATGATTCCCCTTCAAAGGGTATCATTAATTCAACATGTAATATTGTAATGCTAAATATTATTCAGCACTATATAGTGAATAGTGCTGAAGTGGAGGTAAATTTCACAGATTTGGGGGCTTACTTATGCTATAAATTGCTTGTTCACTTGAAGCAGCATACAACATCCCAGAATTTCACTAAGTAAGAGAAGAATGGCTGCTGCCCTGGCAAAAATAGAACGTGTAAGGATCAAAGGCACACTATTTAGCAAGCCAAAGTGATTAGCAAACACTTTTCCCCCTGCAAGCCCTTTCCCCATGTAAACAAAAGTTTATTAAGGAAAAAAGTAAAATAAACTAAACTTATCTACTAAAGTAAGGATTTTGAGACATCAATGTTAAGTTCTTATTTCAAAAATGTAATCTGGATATTTCTAATTATATTTTAAAGATGTGCCCAAATTAGATACATTTAACCTTAGATACGTTTTTTTGGTCAAAATTATTTATTATCTAAAACATTTTACTTTAATTACAAACATTTTAACCATTGGTATTAGAAGAGAGTTTTAGCTCCCAGAAAAATTAACCACTGTAAGGAAAGACAAACAAACAAACAAGCAAACAAAACCCTATCTTTAAGCTGCAGGCAACAAATATGGCCCTTTCTGGCACATTGGCATTTGACTGGCAACTCAAAGTCCAGGAATAATTCTACTAACACAGGGAAACTCACGCATTTTGGTAAATATGCCCTAACTTTCACAGTTGAAATTTCCTTTAGACTGCTTTTTTTAAAAAAATATGGAAATCTTGCTTTTTCTTGGTGTTATTCTGACTTGTGATTTGAACCAGACTTCTTTTTCTTCTTCTTACTATGTTTCTTGTGTTGTTTCTTCTTCTTCTTCTTTGCTTTGTCCATTGCTTTTTCTCGCTCTTCACGCCTTCTCTTCTTTTTTGCTTGTACCTCCTCTTCATCATCTGATTCTGATGAGGACTCAGATGACAAAGGTTTATTCTCAGGATAAGTCTTCTTTCTTTTCTTGCTGAGGCTCCTAGTATCCTTTCCTTTCTCTATTTCATCCTTTGACTTCTTTTTCTTTTTCACAGATTCCTTGCTTTCTGATTCTGATTCATATGTAGAGCTTTCTGACGTTTTGTATGAACGGTTCTTCTTCTTCTTTCTCTTTTTCCCTTGTTTCTTTTCCTCATCCTCAGAATCTGAAGAACTGCTTGAAGAATCAGAGCTTGATGAAGAAGATGAAGACCGACAAGATTTCTTCTTTTTCTTTTTCTTTCTTTCTCTTTTTTTGGATGAGCTTTCATTTCCACTTAATAATTTCTCTCTGCTTTTTTCGAGTTCTTTCTTCCAATTCTCATTCATTTTTTCTTCAAATTCAGCTAATGCCTTAGAGCCTTTCTTCTTATTTTCTAATTGTTTTTTCACTTCTTCCCAGGTGGGCCTTGGTCGATTCAGATAATCTTGGATTGTTGGGCCTGCAGATTGAGTTGGGCCCCTCCATCTGGCCATTGCTATAGGATTCATATAGGCCACCCGATTATCTCGCTTGCCCATGGTGTCTGACGGTTACCAGAGCAGACTCTCAGACACCACGGAGAATAAGGATAGACACTCTCCTTAAGTTTTTAATATGCTGGTATATGAAGCAGGCTTCACTCTGTGAGATAAGCAGATGGAATAACTATGAAACACTTTTAATATATAACAAAATAAACACATAAACTTAATTGTTCACTGACTATCACAGTACGCAGAAATTTCCAAAATCTTGGGAAATAAGCAATATACATATTTAAGATGTTTTCATATTATAGAGACACTGTGATATAAACATAACATATATTTAAAGTGTTTTTATATCTCATACAAGGTTCTGACAGGTATCTAAAATATTGATTAACTATTTCCTTTTTTATTGTATGATAGTTACCTTTTCGTTCTTTCTTTCATTCCTGTTTTATATGGTATATGTAGAGAAATTTATATAGCTAAAACCTGTACCAGGCAAACCTTCTCTAACTTAGGAAAGTGCAGCATGATCCACTCTACTCCTTTTGACAGAAACCTGGGAGTCATACCTGAAAAATCCTTCTCTCAGCTCTCATGTCAAATCTATTACTAAATCCTGCTGTTTAAACCTCCACAATTGGCCTCATATCCACTCACTTTTCTCCAAACATATTGCCAATCAACTCTGCCCAGGCTGCTATTATCTCTCACTTGGACGATTAATCTCTAGTATCTACTAAGTGTTTATTTTATGTTAGGGTCTGCCTATTGCTCTGCAATAGATTTGCTCATTCAATCCCTAGACTAAACCTATGAAGTTGATTCTATTACTGTACCTATTTCAGATGGAGAAACTAAGGCTTACAGAATTTGAGTATAACTTGCATAAAGTAACAGGGCTAATAAATGGCAGAACCAGGATTTAAACCAAGGCAGCCTGATTCTAAACCCTGTACACATAACACAACACTATATTGCCTCCTGACACCAACCTCTCAATTAATAGCCCTATTTCCACCCTTACTCCCTTCTATTCCAGTCCCCCACTGTTATCAGAGGGATCTCAAAACACTCCAGCAGCTTTCCATTTTAATGAGAATCAAATCTTATCTCCTATAAAGGTCCTATATAATCTGCCATACTTCTGTCTCTTACTTTCATCTAGAGTCACTCACCCCTTTTCTCAATTCCATCTCCTCCAGTCTCCTCTTGATTCCTGGAACATGCTAAGCTTCAAGCTTAGCCAACATAGCCAATTCTACATCATCCTTCAGGCCTCAGCTTAAATGTCATTTCCTCAGAAAGGCAACTAAAAGATTGAACTACATAAAACTGCCAATTTTATAGGACACAAACAACTCAAATACCAACAATTTAATATGGCTCAACCTTATAGTAAATTAGGTTGCCTCTCTGTTTACCCCATCTTCATTTTTTTCTGTATCCCAGCTCCTTGTTTCTGTTAATAACAGTACTTATTAAATTGATAATTATTTTGTTTGGTTGTATGTGTGTATGTGTCCACTGCTAAATGTAAAGCAAGAAGTGTAAAGGCTATGTTTGGCCTGTCTTATTCACCATGGTGTTCCCAGTAAGTAATATAGCATTTGACCCATACTAAGTACTCATTAAATATTTCCTCGGTAATAAACAAACAACTGAATGGATGGATAAATTAGTAACTCTGGGAGAGAGAAACATTCAGCGGGGGCCTCCTGGAATTAGTGATGTCTGTACAGGATTTTGAATGATGAACAAGTCAGCCAGGACATGAGGAAATGAAGGATATTCCAGGCAGAGGAAACAATAGGTGAAAAAACACATGGATTTGAAAAAGCACTGCAAATTTAGTGTTGATGGACCTACAGAGTAAGAGGGCAGGGGTAGGAGGTGAATTTGCATAGATAGGAGGCAGCCTGATTATCAGAGGTGAGAAAATGTAGACCTGGATTACACAGACTATGTTGAGAAGAAAAGTAAAGAGATAAGAAGATAACTATAATGAGGGATGCTGAGTTAAAGAAAATTTTTGTTGTTGTTTGTTTTTAGCATGGAAGAAACTTGAGTTTCTTGAGAGTAAAGGCAAAGAATAAAGAAAGGGTATGGATGCAGTTTTTCATTTGTTTGTTTGTTTGTTTTTGTTTTTTGAGGGTGGTGGGAAGTGAAAGGGTGAAAGCTGAAGTATTTCTCATATAATATCCTTCGATTTCACTCAATGGCAGGTGCCAAGCTCATTTGCTAAGATTAAGGCAGCATAGGAGTTTTGAGACCAATAATTAAAATTTGGAGTAACAGCAAAGGGGAATGGGTGGGGGTGCTGACACCAGACAAGTGCTGTGAGAAGCCTTTGGAACTACAGAATCTGTGCGATCCTTTTTCAGAAGATAAAGCACACTGAGGAAAGAAGAAAAGTAATAATAAAAACAAAAGTCTGTTGCTCACACACTTTGTTTTAACAGTATTGTGGTTTACCTTCTCTGCTTCTATTATAGGATAAAGAGAAACTTGATCCTCTGTATCTCTGTTTATGTGCACAAAATATGCTAAAATTATGTAAAGATTAGATATAAATTGTGACAGCCATGCTGATAATCTGAGTTCACTGATTCTTACAATTCCTTTTTGATAATCTATTATGTACCAGACACCATGTCATATGCCATGGAAATTACAATCTAGTAAAGGTAATAGTCCATTCCACAAATATCAGACAAATGAGTATATAATTATAATTGTGATTGAAAAGATTAAGGAAAAGACGGGATGCTATGAAAGGTATAATAAAGGACCTAATTCAGAAGGGAAGGTCACCTCTGATGCTGACATATAATCTGAGAACTGATGGTAAACCACAGTCAGCCAGATGAAGGGTTAAACAGGATGGGAGTAATAAAAGAGCCAAAGTTGATGGAATGTTCTAAACAAAGGCAATTAGATGCTAAGACCTTAAGGTGAAAAGGAAAAGCCAAATATAGTGCAAAATATTCATATTTTTATACTGTTGTAAACTAGTCGTGATCTCAATTTCTCCTTCTTGAAAGGGATTATATTCATACCATTTGTCATTTAACATGCTCAGGTAAAAGTCAATGTAAATTTAAGTTAATTAAACCATATTTTAATGTTTCACAGTGTAGTTGCTATTGCAAATACCATCAAAACTAGTTAGAAACATTCTCTATTTTACAAGTCATTTCACTGAATTTTCAGTGTGATGTATAATTGTGGATGAATTCTCACAGACACATGCATGTGAGTTGAAATTGTTTTTCACAATTGTTGGCAATCTTCCAAGACTTTATCTGAAGTACCCAACTCTTCTGCAAATGTCTGGACAGTTAGATGAGGCTCCTATTAAAAAAAAATCTTAATGTTCTTTGTTCACACTTGCTCATATAAGTTTAAATGTCTCTTAGAAAGCTACTTGAAGGATTTAAGATACCAATGAGTCTATTAAATTATAAAATGATATGTGCACATATATGTATACTCATAAATACCTTAAACTGCTGTACTATGTTTTGTCATTTCACATTGGATTATAACATAGAGAACAACTGCAGCACAATTGACTTCACAGGGCAAATAACAGATAAAAAAGGTCCATGGAGAAATTTAATAATATTTTGAAATTTCCTGGAAATCTTAGTATTAGGCAAGTGTGTGTAATATGATATCCTTTCTACTAAATAAAACTCAGAAAAGATATATGTTTTGGTGATTGATATGCTATCCACTCTAAGTGAATCTTTGTAGAGTATATGCATATATTGAAATAATGCACTGTACCTCACAAATATGTTCAGTTAAATATAAAAGACAATACTAAAAAAGAAAAACTCAAGCATGAACATATCCTATTCTAGTTAACACAACTGTTCTGACAGAGGAATTATCACTCCTATCTTGACTGGGATCAATGTGCTAGCAAACTGCACTGTGTTGAAACCATTCTCCTCATGTAAATTCCCTCCAGCGTAGTTTTGTCATGAAGCATTCATCTTTCTAGGGAAAACATGTAGAATTTAAAATACCACTTCCTCTTTCTTTCCTCTACAGAATTGTCAGATGACAAAGGATTAGTCTCTATCATCTTAAAGATAATACCAGAAAGCTCACAACAGCAACACAATATTGCAGATGCAAGTGACAAAACAGAAAAAGTGGCTGTGAGAAGACAGAAGTTCCAAGTATAAATTTTAGTCAAGTGTTTGTTTTAAAGAAATGAGTACTTCATCCCCTTACGAATATTAATATAGTGATATATTTTGAATTTTTTACTCAGGAAAACAAATCATCATTACTGTTTAGCTTTTATAGTAACGAAGCAAAATGTCTTTTAAAAAGTTTTATTTAAAATAGTTTTAGTGCGTGTCTACAGGTAGCAGTGGTGGCAGTGGTGGTGGCATGACCAGAGCAGAGGACACATTTGCAGCCACCTCCCTGCCTATGATTTTGAGAGGTGATTGCTCACTTAGCTGAAGGATCTGTAGCCCTGGTAGATCTTTTCATCTCCATTGCCATGCTTCTTAGGCATCTTCCAGTTTCAATTGCAGCAGGTGCCAAGGTGAGCCAACCCACGTGGCACTGGGGGCTCAGTCTATGGCCACAGATTCTGGAACAGGATCCAAGGTGGCATAACATAGCCACTACAACACCTCCTGTCACAGCAAGGACAATTCACCACCACAGTAACAGCCAGGGCCACTCTACAGGCAACCTGCTGCTCACTCGACTACACTGATATAAGGAGAGTCACCAGTAAAGCCTGCAATAGAAGAAGAAATCTTTATCCTCATAGCCAACCCTAGAGTAATAGAAGAAGAAAATCCTATACCAGATGACCAAACATCAATGAAGAAATGCTAGAACTACAAACAAACAAGAAGATATGACATCACTGAAGGAAGACAGTAATGCTCAAATTTCAGAATCCACAAAACAGGGAATCCTTGAAATGTCTGAAAAGGAATTCCAAGCAACGATCTTAAAAAACTTGAAGAGATAAAAGAAGACTCAGAGAACACAATGAAATAAGAAAAAATATCCAGAATACGAAGCAGGAAATTTATGAAAAGATTAATACCTTAAAAAAGAGTGTAGCAGAACTCCTAGTAATGAAAGATTCACTCAATTGAAATATAAAAC